ATCTTCAGGTAAACAGCCACAAAGCAAAGAATAAGTATCTCTAAGTGTTTTCACTTAGAATGCAATGAAATTAATTAATTAATTAATTAACAAAGAATTAATTTCCTCATCACTGCGCTCAAAACTTGAGTCGCCCTAGAGCTCTGCATTTCATAGACTATCACTGTTTTTGGGCTATTCAAAGAATTGCTCCTTTTGCAAAGAATTGCAAAAGCTTCAGACCCAGAGCCCTTCTTCCTGTACAACCAAGTGAGCAAAAGAAGCTGCCATGATACTCAGGGAACAGAGCAAAAATTGCATATAAATCCTTTACTCTATTACTTTCTTAATTTCAGTGCTCAACTTTGTTACATCCTGTTAATACAGCCCAGTAGATGCTCAGCATACAATGCTCCACCAGCAAAACCAGAAATTTGCTAACAGCCAAAAAAAAGATACTTAGGTTCCAGGATTTATACCAATATTCTAAAGGGATAGTAATCCAGCAAAAGTTTTATCCAGTTCTTATCCCTTTGACAGTTCCTTGGACTCTTTATTCCAAGTTCAAAGCAGTTTGCTAAATAAGTCTAAGTCTCCTGAGTCATAGAATGTTGTAGGCCATATATTTCCAAATCCACTTTTGTCCTGTCTGCTGATAGTCCAAACCATCCTAATTTCATCAGTGTCTCCACTCTCACTCACTCCTGGAGCCAATTCTCTCTCCTACATGGTGCAGTCAAGCTTGCCTTTCATTATCTTATCCCACTCATCCTCTTTAGCTAAAACCTCACTGTAATTTCTTTTTTTTCCCTGTCAGTTTCCTTATCCTCATTTCTCCACATCATATCTGATCTTCTACCCCTTGAATCTGTGATAGATAGCTACATAATTTTCTTGATGTGAACAAGAGTTATGTCTTGATATGAACAAGAGCCCTGACAGGCTGAGAAAAAATTATCTCCCAGAGTGGGACAACTACATCTTTTCAGAAAAAAAAAAAAAAAAAAAAAAATCCAATATTTTTGTAGCATGAGAAAAACAATGTATTTTTTTATAGTCTTGTTTTTGGAAGACATTAAACTGTTCTGGCTGGAACCCTCTGAAGAGAGTTCAGACAGAGGCAGACACCAAATGAAACGTGGAAAAATTTAGTTTGAAAAGCTACTTTGACAAAGTTGTGAACAGCTGAAAATAGGCCTTAAGGGCTGGAAGAGCCTGGCAGCCTTAGCAGTAGATGCTGTTACAAGCCCTGCCTGCAGTGAAAGGGCCACCCTATCAGGTCACCCGCCGTGGTGACAACCAAGCATAACCCAACTGCATTTCTGGAGTAACTCCATGTCCCTGCTAACCAACCAAGACAGCACTTCTGTCATTTAATTGTCCAACAATTTGGTGCCTACACAAATCCTGACAGGGAGACCCTCACAACACTTCCCTGCTCTCCAGGGCCATGACACAGAACACGAACGCATGTCACAAGTTTATGGGGTGGCAGTTCCTTGCAAACAGCTGGTGACCAGGCCCCCAGCTGTCCAGATTCCCTCTTCGAGAGTCAGTCGTAGCCCTACTGGTATCTTCAGCTTCTCCTCCCCAAACTTGGCTGTAATGGACCTACCTAAAGTAATTAGGCCACCTGTTGCATCACCAGATCCGTTTAAGGGAGTTCTTCAGCACTCCGGTTTACATGGTTTGTCAGGAATTGTTTAAGTGGGTGCCAGCGTAATGGCACTGCAAAGTGAAATTGTGGCATTATTTTAGTCAATAAATATAATTACATGCTCAGATGACCGTGAGCTTGCTGTAATTAGTTCTCCATACCATAATGCAGTCCATAAAATGCTAGCTTCTTGCACGTTACATGATGTGGGATAGGAATTGCATTTGCAGATGATTGGGATATTTACAATTAATTGAGTTTTTACAGCTCAGAAAGATGTTTTATCCCTGGTCAAAAAAGAAGAAAAAAAGAAGAAGTATCAGTTGTAGAACTTGAACATGGCTATTTGTTTAGTGAGTAAATTTGGTTTTATTGGTACCATTGGTACCACAAAAAAGGTAAAGTAAATAAATAATAGGCCAAACACAGACCAGTTCTGCATCCATACGTCATCTAGTTTTATTTTTGATATAGATGTGTAAATAGGCTCTATTTAATCTATATACATATATACATATATACATATATACATATATACATATATACATATATACATATATATGTATATATCCCCATCTTAGAGGTTCATCACAATAATGTCTTCAGGCAAAGAGTGGGGCTCCTTCTCAGTAGGTTACATGGTAATTTGGTCATGATATAATAATTTATGTAATTAATATTAATTAATTATATAAATTAATATAAACATACAAAATAGATTTATATACAGTATATTTTAATCAGTATATAAAAATACAAATAATTTTACATCAGCAAGGATTTTAATATCATAGTATTTCACTTTTATTTTTCTCTTTCTTTACACATACCTTTGTTTCATATCTAGAAAGGGGGCTTCCCCCTGTAATTTTCATTCACTCTGTCCAAAGCTCAAAACTGACATTAAGCACTTGTTTATTTTTAATACATCCTTAAATGCAAAAAAATCAACAGAGTATAAATATATTTTAAATATCTAAATGCTAGCACACTGCTCCATAGGAAATACCAGGAAATATCAGTGGATACTTTCACATCATACCACACTTAAAGGGCTTAGATTTTTCTTATCTCCATGAAAAGAGAGAGGGAAAAGACCTATGGGGATAAAGAGGAAGATCTCAATCTCCTTTATATTTTACACTCCTGAAAGTTTGATAGTCCTAATTTTGTAATGCAGGATAAACAAGATGGCTTCCCACACCAAGCAAGATGGGAAACAACTATATGAATGCAATGAGAAATTAACCAAGTTGCTATTAAAACTGCTTTGAACACATAAGGAGTTTAGTAGGCAGCAAGATCTAAATTAACTCTTCAGTCAAAATTTTTATAATTATTAAATTAATGAAATGCGCCTCAGAACATGGATGTTCTAATAAACTGCTTGGGGTTTCAGCCAATTTTACCATTGTAGGACATAGAGCAATATTATGCCAAATAATATTTGGCCAGACCACTCCTATAATCAGAGTGCAACTCATGTGACTCAAATAAGGTCCAAATCAAATGTTTAGATACATAAATACCAACAGACCCAGTCTATTGGGAATGGTCCATAACAAGATCACAAGCTCTGATTTACAGGGAAAACTTGAAGCATTGCCCTGCAGGGATAAAAAAATGAAAGTTGTGAATTCCACACTTTTGTCAGTTCCAGTACCCCCAGATGTTAAAGGCAGTAAACCACAACTTCACCTGTACAGCTTCTCATTACATTCCCACTTCTAAACAATTCATACAGACAGTACATTGTCAAATGCAATTTCAATAGGACTGAACTAAAGAATTAGAATATTTATTTGTTAAGGGCACTGTCAATTTCTCCACAAGCTTTGTTTTGCACACAACAGCTCAGAATAGTGATGATTAACTGAAAGAAGAAAAATGGATCACTGTCACTATTTTTCCAGTTACTCATTATAAAAGGTATGCCTGCACATTAAGTAGACAACATTTCACCTTCCCTTTGTGGTTTGCTGGTGCTGGGGAAACAGAAAAGGACAGAGCTATTAAGAATCAGAGAAACAAACTAGGTGTTAGTTATATCTACATATAATTTATTGTTGTCTGGCAGGATTTCAAGCCCATGACATGCACCTTCATGAATTACAGGCTGTTTTGTAGATTGGTCATCCACAATAAATAAAATCTGAGGCTGAAATCAATTGACCTGACATTTACCCTGCTCCAGTGCCTAAGCATATACCAGGTCTCATGTCTGATTTTTAGGAGGCTCTAAAAGACAAAATTACAAGGGATGATGAACAGTTACTAATGACAAGCCTGTAGGAGTGTGTGAGTCATGAATGGGCCAGAAACTCTGTATGGGAATACTGTGGGCTTTTACCTAGCTGAACTCTGATATCACCATGTGAGCTACCAAGAGATATAGAAATCAGTATATTAAGTGGTAACCTTCACTTTCACATGAGATAGAAAATGATCAAACAAAAAAAGGATTCTTTAAAAAAAATAATGATTTAAAGAGTGACTAGGCCAAGGATAGTGCATTTCTTAGGCAAAGTAATACAATTTTTCTACCTTTACTCTAGAAAAACTCAATTCTTAAAAGACAGTGTTACACTGAGTTGCTCTAAGATTTAGATTATTTGACTTAATACAACACCTATTTTAAAGAAGACAATTCATTTGAAAAAATTAACTTCCTTTTGCCAGGTAAGTTAACCAAGAAATCCCAAGTCCCTTTGTCCTTGGGCAAGTAGTCAAATCTTCCAGTGTCCTAGTTGGGTGCTTGTTTCAGGCTAGATATGAAGGTTACTTGCAGGGCTTTGGTATCAAAACTCACTCATGTTGTCACCCCACCTATTGTTGGTGCTGAAGCACAGCCAGAGTCCCTCAGACAATCTCTGAGACACAAACCTGTCTTCCATGGAACAGATTATTTCTGGTATCAACCTTGTACTGGGACTCATATACATCACTTGTTAAGAAATGTGAGTATTTGGAATGTTATGGTCAGATAAAATCATTCCGTTTCAGATCTGACTGGCTGGGAAGAGCCATGAGGAATTTGGTAACAAAGCAAGCAGCCAGGTAAAAATCCGCTCCTGCCAGCCCACAGCATGGCACATGGACATTGAGCACTCTTGGACTGTCCAGCAAGAGGGTTCCTTCCAGCTTGTCCACATAATTTAATTGGCAGAAGTCCCAACAGAAGTCTGTTCCCAACATCAAATTCATGCCCAAGTTGGATAGAAAGTCATTTGACTCAATCAGTTGCCATTCCTTCCCCTCCGTCAGCGTGAGGCTTTCTGAAGGATCTTCACTCAGCTGCAGTCTCAACAGGTCATTTCTCTCTCATCAGATTCCAAGGCAAAAACTGCTCTAGCTCCATTTACCTTACCCAGCTCTCCCCATTGTCAATTCACATCTGAACAAGCCTTTTGAAGTCTCTTAGTCCTCTTTCTTTGCGTCAGGAAACCTTTGGGACAGTTTATAATCTATATAAGCACTAAGACAGGACCACAGAATTAATCGTATTAATATAATTACAACAAGTAAAACCATCAAAAGGACTGATTCCATATTTAAGCTAGAATAATGAGGTAATGTGAAAAAATATAACCTGGGAGATCTAATTATATAATGCAGTATTCAGCTCTGCATAGCCAGCCCAGCAATTCCTCTAACATTCCAATCAAAGTGATCTCACTAGCATGTGAGAGAAGAGTCCAGCTGACAGATTTGGGACATGTAACGTACTATTTAGTCAAGAGGCCCCATGTGCTATTCATAAAGAATTAACAACTCTTATATTGACAATGACAGTATTGTCAGAAGACCTTTGGAAGGGGGAAAAAAACCTCCATAAACTCAGTCTCTGTGAAGTTGGACTTTTTTCTTTTGGCCCCTCTTTTCTAGTGCTGATGTAATCTCCAAATATCTCCAGCAGCAGCTGCTCAGCGAAACTAGGCACCTTCTCCCCAGTCCCTTTCAGCAGCACACGCAGCACTTTCCAGCTCCCTCAAGACAATCAGGGCCTTTCTTTCAATTAGCTATCACTTTAAGAGTCCTGCGCTGTCCAACGAGCTCTTAAGAATGGTCTTTGCAGGAAACAATGCTGGAGGAGTTGTTTTTTTTTCCCCCTAGACAAATGAAAAGGGGAAGAAGGGGAGGGGGAAGAGGGGGAGACAAAAAAAAGCACAAAAAACCAAATCAGAACACAGAAGCTGTCCAAAATGAATCGCTCATTTAGTACATCGAAAAATGCAGAAATGTCCTCAACAGCCAAGGCTAGAGCAAAGCACACACACACAAACACACAAAAAAATGCTCCTACTTTTTTTAGGAGATAGTTTGTTTAGTCCAATATATTAAAAAGGTTTCATAGAAAGAAGTGCTCTTGTTACAGCAAGTCTGAGCCATGCAAACTGAAAGGGAACGAAACTCCTGTAAGATTATGCTATGTTTCCTTATTTGGCTCTCCAAATGTAAAGCAGCATTATTTGAAGTAGACACTATAGGAAAGAACTCAGTTTAGCTCACTTTAAATATAGATGGATTGATGAAATGAGTAATTACTGGAACTGTTAAGATGTTTTCAGACTTACTAACTAGCAAGTTCCTTTCCTGCATTTTCTGTCTAAAAAGAAATTAAAGCCTGATCCAGAGACATAAGGCTTTGGGATTTCTACATTCTTCTTCCCTTAAATTCATGGTACAGTAATACCTTGAGGTCCTTGGACATGCTAAGTCCTCATTAGAACTAGCACAAACTCCAGGACCCAGTTCAGAAGAAAACAAGGAACTGTTATTGATATTTAAGCACTTCCTTACCTGGGCCTGGAAATGTGGAGTTATGAAGGCAAAAATGGGAATGATCAGTAGTAAGTGAAATGACTTGGATATGGTTCAAGCAATAGCCCTGTGTCAGAGCTGCTTCTTTGATTTTTAAAAATTCTGCATTAAACCAAATGTCATACCAAAATACTGACTGACAGTATCCTCTCAAAGTATCACTTTCTGGTCCTTGATTTGGGAAACCGCATGAAAGTCAACATGTTGCCTACTACACAGCCAACAGAACCACATTTACAAAAAAAAAAAAAATACTCTGTTCCTTTTTATTGAATGTGTATCAGAAGCAAAGCCCTGGGCTTTGTGAACAGTTAAATGGCAGGGCAAAGCAAATACTTTCAGGGGTTTCAGGAGTTTGTTCACACTAATGGGTGTTCTCAACTACCACATGGATTCCTTAATGGAGGTGGAAAGTGTCAAAACGGATCAGATTGTTTAAAAGGCAAGAAAGTCTGACATATTGCCCTGCGTGCAATTGTGAAGGAATGGGAATCAATTCAAATTCCTCTGGACAGAAAGGCTCAACCAAGGGATGAGTACACAAAATCAGGATTAAGGAGGAATCTTTGAGGAGGCACACCAAACAATGTCTTTTTATACCTACAGATTCCAAAAGCTGCTGAGTTTAAAGGGACTGCTCCTTTCAACTAGCAAAGACTTTGCTGAAAAAAATGCATAAGGCTGGAGAGAACAAATAAATACACATGTATATGTTACTAGGGTCACCTACAGCTACAGGAAAAAGGATAAAAGGGGCCCAAAAGGTCTACCAGCTTGCCCTAAAGCAAAATCAATTACATCATTCCTGACAGCTGTTTCCCTAACCTGTTCTTTTCTTTTAAGAGATCTACACCCACACAGATGTGAAGAAAGGAAATAATCATCTCATCTGAAAGGGATTTCAGCAGGAAAAACAGTCTGACAAAGTGTTCAAACCTCTATCTTGCTGCAACACAACCCCTGCAAGATGGGGACTCCACAGTATGCACTCACTTGGGCAACTGGCTCATTTTGTAGCTGTACAATTCATTATTGGCTGAGGTGATGATATCTTAAATTTTTTCGAGAAGCAATATCTGTATGGCTGCAAGGAAAGCGCTTCTTTTGTAACAACCCTCTTTCTCCAGCGTGGTGCAATGCAGCTGTCCGTGCTCCAGCAGCGTTGCTGGAAACCACTGATTTCAGCATTAGCTGTAATCCAGCACATCCCATGCCTTGGCCACCAGCTCCAGCTCACTCTGCTAGTGCTGAGAAGCCCCATAGCTACTTAAGGGCACACTCCAGGGGTGAACTGGGGGCTCATTCCAGTGCCAAGGGAGCAGGTGCCTCCTCCTGCCTGGACTCGCAAGCGGCTCTCCGGTGGCTCCAGTGGTCCCTGAGAGGTGTCAGGGCTGGAACAGAGGCAGCAAATCCCGGGTGCCTGGCACCAGGATGTGCCCAGGACAGACTGACACAAAGCCAGGACAGCGTCTCACGGCAGCTCCCTGGCTCCACACGCCATGGCTGGCAGCCTGGCACCCCGCTTGTATTCACACGCAAGAATGCTGCCCAAAACGGAAGGACAGTGCTTTCCTGCTTGGATTTCACTCCTTGGGACAGATTTTCTCCCACGGAAAATTAATGGCATGGCTTGAGCAAGGTGAATTTAAATGCCAAATTAAAAGTGGTGTGGCTGAGTTTTGGAAAATGCAGTTTAACATGGGAAGCTGTTCTTCCCCTCTTTGCAAAGTATTTTGAGAACAAGTGAGGAAAAGCACTATGTAAAGTCTGTACATTGAGCATTATTATTTGGATTTTCCCAAACTTACTTTTTCACACAAGAGATGTTCCTCGTGTCTGGCACCATTTTTAATGATGTGCCTTTTTTGAAGAATGTGTTCTGTATCACCCATAAAAGCATCCTTTCTGTTCAGAGTTTATTTTATTAAAATCATTTTTCAACTAGTCATCTCTCTAGGGAACAATGACATGATAGAACAGTATTTCTGATGGGTAATATTTTATTACTAACATATGTTTTCATCACACAACCAATATTACTACCCTATTCTGCTAGAAATATTTATTAAAATTCTCTAATGTGAAACTATTTCCAGAACAAAGTTCATATTTTGTTTTTAAATTGTCACATAATTAATTGTCCTGGTAAGTGCCCATTGAAGGGTAGTTTAGGGGGAAAAAAAGTACATATTGTGCAGTCTTGTTGACTTTTAAAATGTAAGGCAACAGATTTCGCAGATTTCATCTCATTTTTCAATTCTGTTATAAAGCAATCTCCTAAAATATCACTATGTTCCCAAAATTTTAAAATATCAAGTAAACTTACAAGCAAAGCAGACAATATATCAATAATCCTAAAATGCCCACTGTTATCATAATTTTGAAATATATCCCAAAATGTAAGTAAATCAGAATTTAAAAATAAAATAAATTAGAATTAAATAAGTAAATTAGAATTAAATTAGGATATTTTACTTACTGCATTTTCCACACATTCTAAAGTCAGGATATTTACCAAAGGAAGCTGCAAAGAGTTGCTGGTGTTGGTAAGGCTAATAAGAAGTTCTGAGTTCTTTGTTAAAAAAGAAAAGGAAAAAATTAAGACCAGCACTTATCTGTCAGAATCACATTCCTTCTACAGTTATCAGAGTCAAAAAGGCACCTTGCTCCTGGTTACATATGTGGAAACTCCTGAGCAAGCATTCTACATCACACTGAAAACAAAATACCACTTAAAAAAGAGTCAGATCAAGAAGTCACCGCTTTAGAGGACAAAATCTGACATTCAGAGTCAATTATTGCTCCACCTAAGTTGTGATAACGTGCACATATCAAGATCATTAAATCCTCCATTGAGTCAAAGCAAAGTCAACACCTGCCCCATGGGTTTTCTCCTGGAAAATCCCCAGCAAAAACACTCTTCCCCCACTGCAATCAGCTCAGTATGCCCATGTCCATGATCAAGAACAACAAGAACAGACAGAAGATACTTCATTTGTTACATATTTCATCCCTTAAGACTAACTTCAGCCTCCATAAAACCAGAAGTATTAGTAAAACCCCATCCTCAATGGCGTCAAAAGTGAGATTTAAATGCAACAAAAGAGCACAAATTGCAGGAAACAGCAATAAAAGTGAAGGGAAAGTACTAGGATGAAATTAAACAAAACTTTATAAATCAGTCTTAAAAGTGATTACACAAAGACATCTGTATTTCCAAAAAGACTTGATGAGACCTCTGCTTCATTCCATGACCACCTCCATGTGCTGCTGGATGGGGAAATGCTCAGCAGGACACGTCTTGGTTCCCTTTCATTTATGGGAATTTTGTACTAGGAATGTGATCAGAACATGACCCAGCAGTAGCAGAATAGATCACATACAGGCCATGATACTTAATGGCACCAACCAATTAAAAGATTAGCAATGCCCAAAATGTGCACCTAATTGTGAATAAATATAAAAATACAAAAATACTTTGTGACTTAACAGAAAAAACCAGAGATACGTATTTAAGATTTACCTTATAAAGTTCAGAGCAGCTTGTTATCAAGTACTTATTATCTCTTTAGTGATCAGAGAAACCATACACAATTTTGCTAAGTTTTCACACTGAGCTAGATGCCTAATTATTGAGGTAGAAAGAACCTCAGGGCTTTTTGCTGAGGAAATTAAGGAATTATCACCAAATTTGACCAGGCAAAATGATCTAGTCCTAAACCAACTTTTCCTGGTGCTCTCCTTCCATCAGTAGATT